CCCCCCAGGGGGGATGGCCACGCCGCAATCCCTTCTCCTCCATTCTCCTCTCGGGATCTTGGGCACGCACGCACACGCGCCCGTCGTGAGATTTAAGCCACCAGGTCCGAGACGAGAACCGTGGTCGACTACGTGGGAGTCCAGCGACATAGCCATTACGCTAACTGCTGGTTCCCATAAGTCCACATCTTAAGGCAGAACCATCCACCCATGAAAACAGGAGTACCTACCATAGGTTGGTGCTCCATTATGGCCTTAGCAAATGCCTGTTGAATTGGAATATTCCTGACATGATGTGACATTCCCATGCAGGATGCAGCAAAGCACTCAGGCTCAGCATTCAGAATGAATCTAGTTCAGATATGGTGGGGGTTTTTTGTTTGTTTTTGTTTTGTTTTCTATAGGGCATGTGTATTCGCCAGAGAGAGATGGCACAGTGAGAGGGATAAATCCCTCCTCCCCACCTAGAAGGCATGATCACACTACAATCCCTTCTCCATTTTCCTCTCTGGATTTGGGGTATGCATGCACATGTGCCTGATGTGTTTCCAGGCTTCCAGGTCTGGGACTCAAACCGCATAGTCAGCCATGTAGGCTCAGAGAGTCAATCTTTCCTTCCTACTGCGATTGGGGTGTGGGTCTCACTGAACTGCTTTTCTATGGTACAAAATCCAGGAGACATCTCAGGGAGGATTCAGAAACCCTTCTTTTTTGCCGTAAGTACTGCTCGGCATGCCCGAGGCCTGTTCCTCACAACTGTTTCCTCAGCTCCCCAGGAGCCCAGGAGAGAAGGAGCGGCATGCCTGGGTGGGTTGAGGAGGTGGGAGCCCAGGGCAGGTGCAAGTCATTTTCCACACTCCCACAAGTGAATGGGCACTAGGCCTTTGGTCACACACACCGCACACTGCTGGTGCCCAGGCCGCTTCCCCAGGTGTTTCTCAGCTGCTGGACTGGCCGCCGAAGGGTTGGCTGTGGGTCATGCTGACACTGTTCTGGTTTGATTACCGAGTCAGCCTGCATGATCATTCAGACGGGGACAGTGTCGCAGTGGTGTAGAATGAAAACAAGGCTGGAGAACTGTGGAGCCTGCCTGATTACTGTGCGTTTTGACAACATATTAACTGGAAACCTAGATTAAGGCCAGCAGATTTTTCCCTGTTTTGTTCCTCTAGAAAACTCAAAAAGATAATGTATTGTCTACTTGCTTGGTTCTGTGTGCGCCCCCGTGACAACCCCTAATTATGAACGCTCTCCTGGCATCAGTACTACAGCCACGCAGGGCATCTGACAGACCCATAGATTAAGAGCCTCTGGTCACCTTTTCCCAGTCTTTGCTCGGATGTCTAAGCCAGGTACAAGCCAGCATCGAAAAGAACCTGAGAGAAGAGCTCCTTCTGCACAGGTAGAAGGAACCCTAGAACCCTTCTTTTCCAAGGCTCTCCTTGCCATATAACTTGAACGTATACTATTTGAATAATTACGGATGTCTTTCTTCTGTAAGACTGGAAACTCCTTGGAGGCAGGGCCCGCTGTCTTCTGTGTATCTCCCCTCTCCAAAGCTTGGCACGTGTAGTAGCGACATGTAGGGTGTGTACAGTTTCAAGTCCTGCTTCTACTTCTGCCAAGTGGTTGCCCTTTGGCCACTTCACTTCCCTGGGTGTCAAGCAGCCCTGGTGTTTGTGCATCCTACCTTAGATATGCAGTCTGTTCAGATAGTTGCATTGAAGCTAGTTTCATCTACGTCTAATAATATCTACAACTGTGATCAGTACTCTAGGGAAGGCTTAAGTACTATTTATTATTTGTTATGTCAGACTTAGGTGTAAAAATGCACAGCCTGCTTTCTTCACAGGGTTTTTATGAGGACAGGGTGAAGAGATGTATATGAAATTATTTTAGAAACTATTAAGCTTAGTATGACCGAACAATGATTATTGCTGGCCCAAAGATACCTTCCTGAGAAGTAGCTCAGGCTCAAAAGAAGGCACTGAAGATAAAGTGTTGTAAAATATGTATGTGATGGGCCTTGCAGAGGGGAAGTCATTTCCCAAGTTAATTTTTCATGGAGGAGAAAAATGCTCCCTCAGTTCCCTCTCTGGTATTTCTGTGATACAAGAACCTTCGGGTCTGGAGAGGCTGCTGAGTCAGGAGTTAGGAGTCGTAGTTCAGCCTGGCCACTGCCTTGCTGAGTTATCATGGCCAAGTTCTTTAACTTCCCTGCCAGGTAAGCATGAGTACTTTACAAAGGTAGATCAAATAAGAATCTAATATTAAAAATGTGAATAAGAATAGGGACCAGCAGTTAGCGTAATGGCTATGTTGCTGGACTCCCACGTAGTCGACTGCGGTTCACGTCCCGGGCCCGGTGGCTTAAAACTCACGCCGGGCGCGTGTGCATGCTTGCCCAAGATCCCGAGAGGAGAATGGAGGAGAAGGGATTGCGGTGTGACCATCCCCCCTCGGGGTTGATTTCTCACCTTCTGTCTCTATGTCTCTCTGTCTATCTGGCAAGCGCACGTGCCCTATAGCAAAAACCTCTCCAAAAAAAAAAGAATAGTATAGCCCTTCAGACGTGCACTGTTGCTTACATCACGTACATGGTTTTCCCTTTACTTCTAGTCCACCTGGTGACGTCAGCTCCCCCCTGTGCCGTGGTTTCCATCCTCCATTCTGCCCTAGCCCTCTTCTCTAATACATCACAGGATTTCTGTGTCCCTCTGGAAGGAAGTTCCCAAAGTTGGACCCTGAATGCCTCATGCTGTTTTTAGCATTCAGATACCACAATAGACATTATCCAAGACTATCCGTTTTTATTATCTCAAACTTAAGTAGGCCGGCTCAAGAAGGCTTAAGCCAAGTTTTGAAGTAGAGTGTAACTTTCTGTCTTCTGTTTGTCTTCCAGCGACAGACATCACACCTCCAGTGCAATCCCTGTTCCAAAAAGACAGAGCTCCATATTTGGGGGTGCAGATGTAGGCTTCTCTGGGGGAATCCCTTCACCTGACAAAGGACACCGAAAACGGGCCAGCTCTGAGAACGAGAGACTGCAATACAAAACCCCTCCTCCCAGTTACAACTCCGCATTATCCCAGCCTGAAACCTCCATCCCTGCGGTGGGAGAGTCCGAGAGAAAGACGGCGTCACTGTCCTCCTCCTTGGATACCTCCTTGGACTTCTCCAAAGAAAACAAGATGAAAGGAGTGAGTGTGGGTGACAGCTTCAATGGAGGCCATGTGAGTGTGAGCATTGGCCAGGAGCGTGATGCAGCCCTCCCTGGGCACCTGGCCACAGTAAATGGCTCCCTCCTGCCCAGCGAGCAGGCCAGCCCCACCCCCAGCCAGCTCGCAGGTGGGTTCCACCCAGCCTCAGAGGCCGAGCTCTGCTGCACCGTGGAGCAGGCAGAAGAAGTCATCGGGCTGGAGGCCACGGGCCTCACCCCGGGTGACCAGCTTGAGGCATTCCACTGTATCCCAGTGGACAGTGCCGTGGCCGTGGAGTGTGATGAACAAGTTCTGGGAGAGTTCGAAGAATTTTCCCGAAGGATCTATGCACTGAATGAGAACGTATCCAGCTTCCGCCGTCCACGCAGGAGTTCTGATAAGTGAAGTGAGCACAGACAGACCGATAGTAGGACCAAGGCAGAGCGCTGCCTAAAATGTAGACAAAGCTGCACTCACCCTTTGTAATAATTATGACACAAAATGAATATTATTGGAGGATATTCCTCAGAAAAACAGACCTTGGGAGTAGAGGAGGGTCTCAGGATCATTGTGTATCAGTGGGCCAGACAAAGCTAGATGTTGCTTTCAAGATTTGCTTTTTGGGCCTGATGGTTATTTTAAGGCAAAAGTCAACCTCTAGTTGAAAGAGCTTATAGCTCAAGTCACCTTTTAGGTATTGTCTGCTTTTTATTTACACTTCTATGTTATCCTCAGAAGGAAGATGATAATATATAAGTAATGTTATGAACTCACATTTAGTTTCACATAAGCATTTGCCTTCACCATAGTTTACTTCAGGAGAACGGAATCATCAGAAATAGAGTTCCACCATTTACTGAAGGGTCCGCAGCCATCAGTTAGTTTGGTGAGTAAGAAGCCCATCTGCCCTGTCCCCAGCAACCACAGTCAACCTGTAGACCCCACTGTGACCCCGTCCTCATGGATAGGCGAGCATCCCAAACGCTGAGGACACCCATCCCCTGTCCGCCCTGGAGCATGACATTCCATCTCTCCTAATCAACCTTGACCTTCCACCTCCTCTGCCATACCCTTGACGTAGCCCTCAAATTAGATGGAAACCCCCCTACACACATATGCTTGCCTCTGGTAGGTTCCAGAACACTCTCGAAGACCCTCAGGTTCCTGCAGTCAAATGGCATTCTCTTGGGGCCAGTTCCAATGCGGACAGATCCAGTGGTCGGAGACCAGGCATGCTTTCTGGCATTGCACTTACCAGACAGAACCCTGGTATATAAATCCCATGTTAAGTTATTCAGATTCAGTTGGAAAGAAGGAGTTGTACATGGCAAAATATACGTAGATAGTTGGGCTTTCCAGTATGCAGACTGCAAGGCAGTCGAGATAGTCGGGGTGAGGGACTAGGCAAGGCGTAGAGTACCATTGGTATGTGTGCAATTTCATACATAGTAAATTATGGTTTTGAAGTCTAATTGTCATTCCTGTATTCAGATTTCATTTGCTATTGCTTTATATGTTATGTACCCAAGGACATTGCCTCAGGGTTGCAAGATCTTTAAGGAAAATTTATCCATATATCCATGTATTGTATAGAGGAATAAAAATTGAGTTTACTTCATTCGACCTGATTTTTTTCCCCAGCTTCAAAATCCCTCTTGAGCCCGTGTCTCCGTGTCGTGTCACGACAGCTCCAGCCTAAACAGCCGCAGCTGTGTCCGAGCAGACGCTGGGGCCTTGTCTGAGCGTACATGTGAAGCACAGCACAGGAGACTTAAAGGCCTACTTCCCGAGGCTGCACTTGTCCACAGAACTGCTCTGCCCAGGGGCCTCATCATCATTCACACTGTGTCCAGGCGCTCCTGGGCCCCATGTTACCTTAGAGCCTTGTTACTGAATGGATCCGTTTGGGTAGTATGGTCCACATAGAGAATGTGCAGTTACCGGGCAGTGGACAAACCCAACACTCGGGCAAAGTGAAAGCTTTAACTTGATCTGAAGAACTCCATCTCACTCTGTGTGAAGAGGGGGCTGCTTCAAAACCAGGAACAGAAACTCCTTCGCAGCATACTGTCGTTCACTTAAAGGCAAAGATGGTGGGAGATAGATGCTGTCTTAGATATATACCATGCAGAGGCCAAGTGACGTGGAGGAGCATTCTCCAGTGAAGTAACAGCTACAAAAAGAGGATGTAAAAAGACTTCTCAAGGTCAGTGTTAGTATTGAATGGAGAGTGAATCCCATGAGATGTGTGATTTCCCCAGATGCAGAGGTGGCCTTTCAGGTTCATCCCAAGTTCAATGAGGTGCATTCAGTTGCAGGCCCTTGGCCTGGCTCTGGCCCCACCGGGCACTACAGGGCACTCATGATGAAGTGTCCATCTCAGGTCCACACAACCAGAGGGCACGTAGACCTTTGCGGTTTCATCCATCAGTCTCCCCTTTGTGGACTCCCTAATGCCGGGCTTCACAGCTTTTCAGTCCCTCAGCATGGAGCCCAACTCTTGCTCAGAGCTGATCAATAGTGGCCTACCCAGTGCCCTGACCCATGCTGTCCAATGACATATGTCTCAAAGCACCACTCAGGTTTGGTCTGTAGTTTGGGTTTGGGGTTTTCACTTGGGGTTATTTGGTTGTCTCCACTTTCTGCCATGACCTGAGGGAATAGTATTACATATCTCTTGGAATAACTGCTCAACATTTTCTAAAGCTGCAGAATTAGTATTGCCTCTGTTTAAAGTGGCCCAGGCCAAAATGTGGGATGAGTTATTATCTCCCAATCTTTTTAATTCGCCTTGTAAGTCACAAAGAAAATAAAATTTGCCTGGGAGATCCAAATTGAAATGGAAACTCATTACTGTCCGTTTCGGAGCTGCTAAGAGCCCTTGCAGCTTTCTCATAGCCACGACACTTTTAACAGCCGGCAAATGCTAGCAAATGAAGATTTGATGGTGTTTTCTCTCTTCCCTTCCCCTTCACCACTTTAGAAATTCCAGAGATTTTTTTTTTTCCCTCAGAATATTAGTTTTGGAAGATTGTAACCAGCTATATTTTTTTTAGCAATTCGAATGGTGCCCATTTATCCTGACCTAACCGGTTATTTAAATAATTTTTTAAACCACCACCAATAATAAATGGCATGTGAAACTGATCTCTTGGTAATTGGAAGAAAATTCTGCATCTGTATTTATAAAATAAAATTGATTAGTATTTATTTTGAGAGTTAAAAGTGTATGTTATTTCCCTGCTATGTTTGAGTTCTGTCTTCATTGTTTTGAACTTCACATTGAACCAAGTTAACTATAAAATCCTCGGTCTGAAAAAGTCAGCTATTCCGCAATTTTTGAGCTGTATGTGTTCGCATGCATGCACATGCATGCGCATGTACACACACCAGTGCAGAGTTTAGTAAGCCTCAGCCCCTGGTGCATTCTCTAGTGGAGGGCCACGGATATAGTAACCATTCATCATAACTCAGGGTGATCATTGCTGGGAGGAGAGATGTATAGCCATGCTATGGAATGCAGCATAAGCTGTTGGGAATGATTCCAAGAGGTCGCGGTCCAGCCAGGTGGCGTGGTGGTTAAGGCAGCTGGATCCCACATGGCCAACCACGTGGTTTGAGTCCCGAACTCAACGGCTTGGAAAATATGCCAGGCATGTGTGTGTGTGCATGCCCAAAATCCTGAAAGGAGAATGGAGGATAAGGGATTGCATCATGGCCATACCCCCTGGGAGGGGGATGATTTCTCACTTCTCCTCTTTCTCTCACCCTGGCAAGTGCATATGTCCTATAACAAAAACTTAAAAAAAAAAAAAAAAGAAAAATCAAAGAAATAATGCATCTGAAAGGTAGGTCAGATGGGGAGGGGTAGAGAGTTTGGATGAAGATAGTGCATAGCTGGTAAGTACCTTGCCCAGGCTGTAAAGCAGAAGAGTAACTTGGTTAGATCTGAATTAATTACTCTTTAAAGAAGAGTAACTTGGTTTGACTGGGAGCCAGACCGAGGATGGATTCTAGGGGTACTTGCTTGAATGTGTTTAATCTCTGTTCTATTTGAGAAAAAAGAAAAAGAAAAACCCTGTGTCTGAAAGAGAGGTTGTACTGGGGCCCTTGTTTCCAGGGTACACGTTGAATACAGCCAGATTTTTCAGGGCAGTACAGAGTGTAGCCAATCCCTGCTCTGTAGACACTGAATTCTTAGCGCCCCGTGGCAACTGCTCACATCTGCCACTCTTTCACTTTGAAGCTGTGACCCTGGTCGAGGCATTTACTTTCAAAACTAAATGTTTTTCATCTATCAAATATGAATCTGCCCTCCCAGGTAAGTTTGCATCACTGCTGGTCCCCTTTGTCCTGTCTGCAGCTACTGTGTGCTGATAGAAAAGACGCCTGAGGCTCGAGCAGTCAAGCGCAGTTTCCGGGACACACAGCTAGTGAGCTCCTCTGCAGAGCGAAGCCAAGTCTTTCCTCAGGTTTTCCTTTGAGCCTGGACAGGCTCCTATGCAGTCTTCAAAACCTGAGTACCTTCGGGGTCCAGAGCAGGACGGGACAGCAAAGGACTCTCACCTACTAATCTCTTTTTGTGGTATGGAGTCTGGACCCGTGTGCTCACCAGAGAGACAGAGAAAGACAGACAGAAAGCAAGAAATCACTCCCCAAGGGGGATGGCCACACCACAATCCCTTCTCCACTCTCCTCTCAGGATTTTGGGTACATATGCACACAGTGCGAGCCCACATGAGTTTCAAGCTGCTGGGTCCGGGACTCACACTATGGTCAACTATGTGGGAGTCCAGTGACAGAACCATTGTTATCTGTTGGTCCCAAGGGGCTCAGTCATTTAAGAACTTGATTCTTTTTTTTTTTTTTTTCTGGAGAGGTTTTTGCAATAGGGCGTGTGCGCTCACCAGAAAGACAGAGAGAGATAGAGAGACAGAAAGCGAGAAATCACGCCCCCAGAGGGGATGGCCATGCCGCAATCCCTTCTCCTCCATTCTCCTCTTGGGATCTTGGGCACTCACACACACGTGCCCCTGGCGTGAGTTTAAGTCACCGGGTCCAGGACTCGGACCACAGTCTACACGGGAGTCCAGTGACATAGCCATTATGCCAACTACTGGTCTTGAGAACTGCTTGATTCTGATCAGGGTTTCCATGTAGTAGAACAGCAACCACCCTACTGTGTACCCACAGTCGTGACCCAAAGGCTTGTAAAATATAACAAAAATTAGTAATACAGCTGGCTTAGAAAATTCAGCTTTAACGTGGTTTTTATTGTTCTGAAGGATACACTGCAGTATCAGAAAAAAGGAAATGTTAGTTTTCGTTTGATAGGAAAATGTATAAAATGATTGGGTCATTGGAAAAATTATGACACATTTTGCATAAGAAACAGGAAAAAAATGACTTTTCCAGCAACCCAATAATTTAAAGGAAGTATATTCTTCAAAATGCTTAAAGTAAGTTTTATTACTTTAAGAGAGAAACTTGTTCTTTCAAACTTTACTTGTACAAACTGTTTTTTCCTATTCCCTTATAGGGGACACCTTATTCTATAAAGAGGCCAGCTTCACTGCATTTCCACCAACGACTTCGTCTTGGGATCAGGGGGCCGGCCGCGCTTCATCATGATTTAGGAAACTCCCAGGCTGCCTTAGCTGCAGGTGATATGTGACCTTTTGCTCACTCGGGCAGCAGGTGTGTCAGCTTGCTGACCTCTAGGCCCAGGCCAGCTCCTTTGCTCCCCAAACCAGTCGCTTTGACTGCTTTGCCTCTAGCCTGCCCAAGCTTTATCTTCACTGGCCCACAGTAGGTGCTCGTGTATTCGGTGGGTTGTGGGAGAGAGGGAGAGTATAGACCCCAGAATTTGGTAACTCGGCCTGTATCCGACTGTGAGTCCCCTGGGAACTCAGTGAAGGTTCATTGTGCTGAGTTGACCTCAAAAGACTTCACTTTTGAGGCTGATGGAGTCCTGTACACACTAGCCAGCCACAGAGTTGTGAGAAGGTCCTCTTATAGAAATATTCCACATAAAAAGATTCAGAGGCAGGGGCCAGCAGGTGGCATAGCAGTTAAGGCGCTGGACTCCCGCATGGTGAACTGCAGTTCAAGTACTAGACCTGGTAGCTTGAAACTCACAATGGGCACATGTGCGTGCGTGCCCAAAATCCCAAGAGGAGAAGGGAGTGTGGCATGGCCATCCCCCTCACGTTCTCTCTCTGTCTCCCCAGTGAACACATGCGCCCTATAGCAAAGGGCTTAAAAAAAAAAATTCAAAAGTGATCATAGGATTAGACTACCACCACTTTGTGAATCCTAATGAATGAGTCCATCTAAGAGTAGTCATCAATGGCAAATCACAAAAAAGAAAGTCATTTGGAAATGATGGAAAAATACACCTAGGAAAGATGTGGGGTCTTCACAAAGGTCATGGAAAATAAGTTCTATGAAAATTGCATACATTTCAAAATATGGACTAAAACGTGTACTTTAATTTCATTTTTTCCACCAACTTCTCAAAGTTCTCTTATTTTCTTGGCAAAACTTTGCAAGTATAATCAAACCTCTGTGTGCTGTCCACACAGCAGCCACTAGCCACGTGTGGCTATTAATTAATTGAGAAGTGGCTAGTCCAAAGCAAACGTGCTCTACATGTAAAATACACACTGACTTTCAGAGACTTGTACAAAAAAGAATGCAAATAATGTTATATTAATTTTGATGTTCATTACATGTTGGAATATCCTGGATACATTGAGTTGACTAAAATATATTATTATTGTTCCTTTAATCAGTGTCTTTTTTTTTTTTTTTTGGAGAGATTTTTGCTATAGGGCACGTGCGCTTGCCAGACAGACAGAGAGAGACACAGAGACAGAAAGCAAGAAATCACCCCCCCCAGGGGGGATGGTCACGCCACAATCCCTTCTCCTCCATTCTCCTCTCGGGATCTTGGGCACGCACGCACACGTGCCTGGCGTGAGTTTTAAGCCATCGGATCCAGGACGCGAACCACGATCGACTACGTGGGAGTCCAGCGACATAGCCATTACGCTAACTGCTGGTTCCCATCAGTGTCTTCTTAAAATATGACTATTAGAACATTCTGGATCACCATTGCCTTTGTGGCCCTTCTTACTGGCTACTGACAGCACAGCTCTGGGTCTACCAGCCCTGGAGAAATTCCAAGGGTGGGTGAGCATGTCAGCACCAGGAACATGCAGTCGGGAACTCCAGGTGCTGGGAGACTGCGAGACAGACCGCCTGGTTTCTCTACCAAATACATAACAAGAAAAGGTAGAAAGAAGGGGGAAATCTAAGGACTCATGAAACATATCCGTCGGTCCTGAAGTGAGCCTTGTTTAGCTTCTGTAAACAAACTGGAAAAAAAAATTGCAGAACAGTCAAAATGCAAACATAGACTAAAGGACTATTTTTTAGGGGTGGTAGTAGTCCTGGGATTGTTTTCTTTTTAAAATCCTTGTCACTTAGAGACAGATCCTGAAGTATTTGCAGATGAGATGCCCGTCGAGGACTGCGCTTGCTCAGCCCTGCGCTTGCTCAGCCCTGCGCCTGCTCACACACACCCCTGCCGCTAGCAGCTCCCAGAAGCTCCTGCCTCCCTCGGGGCCGTTGCCCGGTGGCATCTCTGTGCCCTCTGATTTCTGTGAGCACCTGTCCAGCCATCCTCCTCTCCTCTTTGAAGTCCCCCTGGTGTCTTCGCCTGTCCTCAGTCAGCTCCGCCTTATAGCAGTAAGCCCCTCCTGTGTGCTCGCCCCAACCCCTGTGT